ATCTATAAATTTTGCTTTATGCACTCGCGCGTGCAGTAATTTTCACAGTTGTGCTATTTTAAATTCCCAGGCAGCTAAAATCTTTTGTCTTTAAAACAATGTCGATTTCTTGGGAAATTCCGAGGTTGCGTTCTTTTTATGCACCCTGTATTGAAGTAATCTAATGTTGTTAGAATTTGAATGGACTGGCACTTTGCTGAACGTAATAATGCGTAACTCCGTGAGCCTTGTTTTAGACATTGAATTTCGGTCGCGTGAAATGCAACTAAGACAATAGATAATGAAGGCCGAAGCTTAATGAGGTTTATCATCTCATTATTGTCTTAGCACTGAGTGCATAAATTATACACGTCCTAATTACGCATTCAGTAATATTTTTTGTTAATTGACCGGGAAAAGCAAGACAAAATTTTGTTCATTTCTCGTTCAATTTTTAACCAAATTCAACCAAATTTTAATCAGTTCTTCCTTAGCCGATGGGAAATGCATTCAAAAAATTTCGTACGGATATGTTTGGTATTTCTTGAGTTATCGTGCTCACAGACAAACACACACACACACACACACACACACACACACACACCACACACCAGATGATTACATAAACTCCTGGCGGAGGTAAATACAAACCCAGATGATTACATAACCTCCTGGCGGAGGTAACGAGCTAGATGTAAAACAGTTCTTAACACAGCAAGTTGATTCGTTAGCTAACGAATGGGGCCACATTAGTTATGAGTTGGCCTGCCTTCGCAGATACAAAATAAAATCCATTTTGAAACCAGAATATGCTTCAATATGTGTTGATGATGGCACACAAAGTAAATATCTGTTTGGCGATGATTTACCCAAACGACTAAAAGACGCCAAAGAGGCGAGCAATGTGGGGCTAGCTGTGAATACGAGCAATTCAAGAAACAACAACTGTCCTGCGCCAAAAAGCTATTATTATTATTATTTTATTATTAATGGTTTAAGATACACACCTTCGCAATATATTGAATTATGGTGCGTTTACAAAATTAGTACGCTATATATATTTACATATATAAAAAATTAAGTTGCATATGCATCAAGTCTAAAAATCTTATTGAATTGCATTAAAATCATCGTAACTACATAAGTATCACGCTTAAGTTTCTTTACTGTTTGGCATTTTATTGTTGTTAATGTGTTAGAGTTTCTAAGTTCATAATCATTTGAACTAGCCCTAGACAATGGAACATATTTTGACAGCGGTCCTTCAATTTCTATGCGCTTCATAGTATTGAGGCAATGACGTTCTCGCCTTTCATCCAATCTGGAACACCCAAGTTGTGCCAATGCTTCCATATAAGAGTAACCCGGTAAAATGATCCTCAGCGTTCGTTTTAGCACTCGCTCTAACTAGTCGGCGAGGTACAAAAACCGAGGTACCTAAAAAGGATGGCACTCAATAAACATGTATCCTACTATCTTTTTAAAATGGATTCATTAAACACTATAGTCAAATTAGTCGATAACGATTGTTTTATGGCCTCGATAGATCTCAAAGATGCCTATTATTCAATACCTATTCGGGAAAGAGACAGAAAATATTTGAGATTTTATTGGAAAAATCAACTTTACCAGTTTACTTGCCTACCAAATGGGTTTCGAGTGCCCCTAGAAAATTTACTAAGATCCTTAAACCTGCCTTGTCATCATTACACATCAAAGGACACATTCTTTTCAGTCATTTAGATGATTTCTATTTACAGGGCAAAACCCCTGAGGAAGGTTGCTCTAATTTAATAGATACAGTGACACTTTTTACACAACTGGGCCTGTTAGTCCATCCTAAGAAGTGTAATTTCATACCCTCACAAGAAATAGTAATTTGGGGGTTTATAATAAACTCAGTAAAAATGACTGTCAAACTGACACCAGAGAAAGCACTAGCCCTAAAGTCAGATTGTGATTTGTTTCTTAAAAAATGCCCTGGTAATATTGTAATTCGAGAAGTTGCTCAAATTATTGGGAAAATAGTATCAAGTTTTCCTGGGGTCCTGCGCGGACCTCTTTACTATCGACATTTAGAAAGGGACAAAACCTCAGCTTTAGCTAGGAATAAAGGTAATTTTGATGCTAGATAAACTACGCTTAGCCAAAGCATTAAAGACTTAGATTACTCACCAAAAATTGACCTATTTGCCTCAAGAATTAATAAACAATTTGATACATATGTTTCATACAGACCAGACCCACAGGCATCAGCAGTAGATGCATTTACTCTAACATGGAGCTCACTCATGTTTTATGCTTTTCCTCCCTTCAGTCTTATAGGGACTGTTTTAAACAAGATCAAGAAAGACAAAGCAAGGGGATGGTTATGCTACCAAATTGGCCAACACAACCTTGGTATGCGAAAGCCCTTTCCATGGCGGAAAAACCACCCATACATTTACAAGCGTCAAAAGACCTGTTGATACTTCCCAGCCATCCAGACGAGACACATCCATTGTTCAAAAAACTGTCAATGATGATTTGCCTCTTATCCGGGAAAGTTTAGAGCTCCAAAATCTGTCAGAGTCCACGAAAGAAATTATAATGGCTTCTTGGCGTAAAGGCACTCAGAACCAATATAAATCATATCTTTTACGATGGGAGGAATAGAAAGTTTTAAAACATACTAAGGCTGAAAAACACCAAGTGTCTTTGGAACTTCGGTCGTACCCAAGGGACAAAAGAGTTTGTGTGCTAGAGTGCCTTAAAAATATATCAAACGAACTACTGTTCTCGGAGGTGAATAATCAAAACTATTTGTGAGTTTCGTAAAGCCCCATAAAGCGGTAACCAAAGACACCATCGCCCGATGGGTCAAATCAATACTACAGCAATCGGGAATTGATACAGTTAAATTCACGTGCCACAGCACTCGGGCTGCATCAACGTCGTGTGTCTAAGCAGCAGGACTTAATTTAAAACAAATAATGCAATCTGCTGGCTGGTCCAATTCCTCTACCTTTGCAAAGTTTTATGATAAACATATTGAAACTGAAAATTTTGGTTCAACAATTCTCGACACAGCAGATGTTGAAACAGTAACAAAGTTTAAGCAGTTATAATGTAGTTGGGTTACTAAAACAAATACATTTTTGTTTATCCATTCATGTGTTGGAGTGGGTTCTTCACGGTCGCAGGACTTTGAAATCTCATGTGACTCTGTAGTGACGTGACTGATGACGTAGTAGAATTCTAAAATTAAACGAGACTTACCTGTAAGTTGAAGTTTGATTGGGATTCTACCAGTCATCAGTCAGGAACGAAGGAGTCACATGCCCAGGTACTCGGTACCATGCCCTTCCCTCCCGTGACTCTTCGTTCCTCATTTCTGCAACCGTTCACGTTAAAAACTGATCAGCGAAGCACGCAGGCGCTTCGCAGTTCGCATGTGACTCCTTCGTTCCTGACTGATGACTAGTAGAATCCCAGTCAAACTTCAACTTACAGGTAAGTCTCGTTTAATTTTAGAATTATAAATTATAAATTAATTATAAAAAACTTCAACAGGAGGCCTGAGGTCGACAACCCTTTTTGCATTTGTAGCTATCAAATTCTAAGATGCTGTGTGGAGCAAGGCTTTGGGTCCCCCATGGGATAAAGCGTAAGCTATATCATATTGCTGTTTCGTCGCTTTTAGCTACCAGATAAGATATTTTATTTTGTAAGTTCCATATGGCTGTTCAATCGTTTCAATTAAGCTATCAGTTAAGATATTTTACAGCGAAGTTCAAGGATCGACGTGACAAAACAAACATTCTGCCCCTTAACACCCCTGACAATAATAACCCAGCGAGTGACTCAGATGATTATTGTTATGTTGCCAATTAAAATACAGATAGTCGAAAAGAAATTTCCATTTGAGCGTTTGTCAACTATTATTTAAGATATTTTGGCATTTATCAGCTGATATTTAAGCCAATGTGTCAGATGAGTTAACCGACACTTTGTTTGTCAGTTGGCCGAAATTCGCGCGAATGTAAGTTGTCAGTGACCTACCAACATTAAATGATTTCATTTTCATTCAAAATTTGCCAGTGATGGTGGCTCCAGGGCCGTAGCT